CATTGAGGGTAATACCTGATGGGCTAATCTTGCATCTGCCCATAGTCCCTGGGTGTTACAAGGTAGCTTGGCCCAGAGACCACTTAGGGTAAGTGTTGGGCCCATAGAGCCCATGTGATGGGTTTCAGGGGGTGCACTGTCCATAACAGTGTATTCGGCCAGGCCTTGTAGCAAAGGCTAGGCTGAACCCATGTGGTTGTTGTGTAGATCAATGTTTGGGTCCCACGCCATACAAGGAAGCCCAACTGGGCAGGTGTTTGGAAGGTTAAGTGAGCACATGACCTTATTGGGCCTAAAGCACATTAGCAGATAGGATTGGGTCTTAACCCTATCCACTCAGAGAGTCTAGATCTGAATGTAACCTCCTAACAGGATTAGAAGAGGGATGATCTAATCTGTAGATAAGATAAGGATTTACCCTTATCACTTAAGGGGAATTCTGATCCAAATATGATTTGGATCAGCAACTCTTAATGGGATTAGGAGTTGATCCTTTTAAGCTTATAAAAGGAGGAGGGGGCAGTAGCCTTTAGAAGACTCATATTCACATCCTCTCCAGAGTTGAAATCACAGAAAGAAGGATTTAGCAACCCTGTGAAATTCTTTCTTGTCGCCTCCTTCTTGCTGCCGCCTCACCTGCCAATTCGATCTCCAGTTAAGTGGGAGAAATCAAGATTGGATCTTGATATCAGTTGCTTGTGAAGAGACTGATAGGAAGTTGTGCTCACGTGTCGTCCAATTGATTCTTGCGAAGGATCGGGTCCTTGGGAAGAACACTGATGACTCAGCTCCACCCTACACTACGCCATCTTCAGTGGGAGCAGTTTTTGGTTCCTTCCTTGGGCGTGAACACCTCCATTGGGAGATATTGTTTCTCCGTATCAAGTATATCCCTCTCCTACTACTTCTGTTCAGATTTGGTTCGGTTCTTGGTTCAAGATTGATCCTTGAAAAATATGATTTTTCTAAAATAAGGAATACGATTCCTAATAGGATGGAGAGAAATTTTTGAAATTCGCCCATTCTATTCCGCAAGATTCGGGCGTCCATACGATGGATATCTCATCCCTTAAATATTCAAATCCAAATTGATAACAATATAGGTGATTGAGTTTGATTTGATATCCATAGGTGATTGAGTTCGATTTGTTGGGTAAATTGCTGAAACCTCCCCTGAAGTTTCTGACCATTGTTGAAACATTCCTTGAAGTATGGTAACTGTAATAATCTCCCCTGAATTTTTAACACATTTGCAAGTAGACCCCCTTTGTTATAATCCTCTAATAAGAGGCATAAAAATGCCCAAAATACCAATGTAGTTACTTTTGACCAAAATGTTTATTTCCCAAATTTTCTCTTCATACCAATTTTTACCCTAAACTCTTTCAATCTTTTTCCAAAATTGATTTAGTTTCCAAATTAATTTTCTCTTCATATCAATTGTTACCCCAAACTCTTCCAATCACTTTTCCAAAATTGATTTAGTTGCCAAACTTGCCCTTCTTATCAATTGCTCAAAGGTAAAGCTACAACTTTAAACTCATTTATTTTGTTGTTTATAAAGTTTGTATTTTTTCTATAAAACGAGACTCAATAAGTAAATGCATGGGTATTTTGGATATTTTTATGCCTCTTGTTAGAGGATTCTAACAAAAAGGGTCTACTTGCAGTTGTGTTAGAAAGTTCGAGGTGATTGCAAATTTGCAATTACCAAACTTCAAAGGAAGTTTCAACAACAATAAAAAACTTTAGGGTCCATTTGACTCGTAGTCGAAATCAAAATCCTTTAGAATCGGAATCAAAATAGTCTATTCCCATAGTTTGTTTGGTTCAGACAGGAATAGAAATGGGAATTGGAATCACTAGGAATGGGATTTCATTCCCAAGGGAGGGGCAGGGAATAGCCATTCCCTCAAATGGGAGAATGCCATTCCAGCAAGAATGGGAATGGAATTTCGATTCCTCCCAACCAAACAGTTGGAATAAGAATAGCACATTCCAATTCCAATTCCAAACCCCTATTCCCACAAACCAAACGGACCTTAGTGTGTAAGACCCAATAATACAAAGGTGGGGCATATGATGATTAATGGTCCAGATCAACTTCAAAATCCCTCTAGATCTGCTCCTCACACAGGGTGCCTCACGGGCACATCCCACCGTGCATTGAGAACATCTCCCGTAAATAATAACACATAAGTACAAGAAATATTCCCAATACACGATGGGATGCACCTATGAGGTGGGTGTGAGGCGCCCTGTGTGAAGAGCAGATCCCGTCTCCTACAAGTCTACATGGCATGCCTCATGATCCGAAAATATGTGGATTATAGCAGTTAACATTCCTAACAGTCAGACTATAACGAGGGCCATAAGTTTGAGTCAAATGCATAATTTTCCAAGGGGAAATTTAGATATACTTAAGACAATTTAGTCAATCTTCTAGACTGGCTGCTGTTGTCAATATCTAGGGGTGGAAGTTATCAAATGTCATATTGCATGTTGCAATAATTCAAATACTTAAAAGCTTTGTTTATTTACGGTGCAAATCTCTGAAATCAGTTCAGTTTTGCATCATTTGTTTTATTACTATGATTTGCATTCCAACCTTTGATAAAAATTTGTACATTTTTTTCATTTGCACTTATTGTCAGTACATATTTTGCTTTTACAAAATTGATGCATGCCGAAATTTGCATCACCTTTCCTTTACCTCAATTCTTTCTCATATAGAGTGGGGATCATTTCATTTTTCTTCGTACCTCACTTCCAAGCAAATAACCCTCTTCTTACTTCCACTCTCATTCTTATATGGTGGGACCACACCATTTTAATTCTCACAATCCGACAAAGTCAAAATTGAAGCAAAAGCAAATCACAATTTACACTCAGCCTTTTTGCACCTCCAAGCTTATATTAGCACAAATGAAATTCACACTACAATTTTCAGTGCAAATCTAAACCAGATACAAATTTTGCATCCGATTGAGCTTTGCAATCATTTGTTTGAAACCATGATTTGCACCCTTACCTAATACAAAATTTGTACTTTTCGTCTCATTTACACTTACTAACGACAATGCAAACTTTGTACCACTTTCTTCCTACTTCAATTTGCACTGATAAAAGGTGGGGACCACATCAGCTTGCTTCCTCACTCCAAAACAAATAACCCTCATCCTACCGCTATTAACCCTCATCCACTTCCTATTAAGTCAAAATTGAAGAAAAACCAAATCACAATTTACACTCAGCCTATTCGCACCCCCATGCTTATATCAGCACAAATGAAATTCACATTACAATTTGCAGTTCAAATCCAAACCAAATACAAATTTTGCACCTGGTTGAATTTTGCATTCATTTGTTTGTAACCAAGATTTGCACCCTTACCTAATACAAAATCCGTACTTTCTGTCTCATTTGCACTCATTAACAGTGCAAATTTTGCACCACCTTCTTCCTACTTCAATTTGCACTCACGTAAGGTTGGGGCCACACCAACTTGCTTCTTCCCTCCCAAACAAATAACCCTCATCCTGTTAAACAATGCATGCCCTTAGCTCCAATCAGAATGATGTACATTATGATATTTAATGTAAATGAATAAAGTACATATTTGATTCATGTTATCATGGTGTATTTCTGTGTAATACCCTTAAACTGGACACATGAGACTCGTGTTAGTTTAGAATCTTCACAGTCGTTGGATAGATCTAGGGAGATTTATCCAGCTAAGGCTGAAACTGATGTGCTGCAAAGTTGGTTGGGGTGGCTTGTCTCAGCTGCCAGGGTGAGACCTGAGGTACATGCAGTGTGGGTTTTCTTGAAACCCTGAACCGAACCAGAATTTCAGTATTGCCCTGGACCTTGGAGATAGATGGGCAAAACTGGAATGTTACACCTGACCCCTAGACTCGATTATGATACTGCACTAGGTGTTGGATTGGATTGTCTTTGATATGCCAATCAATGAGATCCTTAGACAGGATCAAAACCTAGGTATGTTGGGACAGTCCGAGAATTCATCTGAGTGGGTGATCATAGTGACAGGATCAGCCCTTTTGTCGGACAAAGAGAATAGTCGGGGATGCACTCTCTCTGATGGAAACCAAAACTATCGGCAGTTGATTTCAAACGTTGAAATTTGTTTTGCAAAATGTATTTATATAGAAAGTGCAGCACTGTACCTTGCAGCCGAGGGAGAGGTCCTCTCTTGTCGGGTAGTGTTTGATCATTATGGGCTGAGAGGTTAAGTGTAAGACTATTGAGGGTAATATATGATGGGCTAATCTTGCATCTGCCCACAGTTCTTGGGTTTTATAAGGGGGTTTGACCCAATGACCATTTAGTGTAAATGTTGGGCCCATTAAGAGCCCATGGTGATGGACTCAGGGATTCACTGTCTCCTACAATGAATTCGGCCAGGCCTTGTAACAGAGGTTGAGCTGAACCCATGTGGCTGATGTGTAGATCAATATTTGGGTCCCACGCTATACAAGAATATCCAATTGGGTAACAGTTTGGAGGATAAGTGAGCACATGGACTTAATGGGCCTAAAGCCCAATTCGAACTGGCTTAATTAGATTAATTAAAGAGGGGTGGTTCTAGGATTTAGATCAGCAGATAGGATAAGGGATTGTCCCTATCCACTCAGAGAGTCCAGATCCAAATAAAGATTTAGAACTGAAAATTCCTAATTAGATTACGATGGCTGATCTTTTTCTGCAAATAAGATAAGGGATTATCCTTATCTCTTAAAGAGAGTCAATATCCAAATACAAGATTTGGATTAGAAAACTTCTAATGGGATTAGGAGAACCTCTCTTTAAGGCAATAAATAGAGGAGGAGGGCGAACCCCAAAATCACCCTTTAGTTTTACTGATACAAGAGAGAAGACAGCATATAGTTGGACTAACACCATCTTCTGCTCTTGCCTTCTCCTGCTATTGCCGCCATTGCCAGTTCGATCTCCACCTGTAGGAGAAATCAAGAAGCATTCTTGATATAATATTTTGGTAGAAAAGGTGATCTGAAGTCGTGCTTACTCGCCTTCCATCAGATTCTTGGTGAAGAATCAAGTTCTTGCTGAAGAGCCATGTTGCTGATTCTGTTCCACCCTACGCTGTGTCATTTTCAGTGGGAGCAGTCTTTGGTAATCTCCTTGCGCATGAACACGTTTGTTGAGAGTTACTACTACTCCTTATCAGGTATATCTCTTTCCTACCTTTTGGTTTCAGATCTGGTTTGGTTTAGGTTCAAGATTGATCCTTAGAAATGCAGTTTTCTAAAATAGGAAATGTGATTCCCACATGGGAGAGAAATTTTTGAAATTTCGCCCAACCTACCTACAGGGTTCGGCCATCCATACGATGGATCTCTCATCCCTTCACATCCTACCACTGTTTTTTTCCTATACAGTGGAGAACTACATCACCTCCTATTTTACTTCTCCCAAACAAATAAGACAAAATCAAATCTGAAGCAAAAATAAACCATAGTCTACCCACATCCTATTTGCACTCCCATGCATTTACACCAGCACAAATGAATTCCACACTGCAAACAAACTGAGCCTATTGCACAATAGATGGTAATTGAAAGAGAGAAATAAGAAATACCTATTTGATGCAGAAAGGTTGGGTGGATCACCATGTCTTGGCCAAATCTGTGGCACTGATGCATCCTTGTGAGAAACATAAGCAGTTAGGAAATAGCTTGAAGAGCAAACAACCTGAATAGCTTTCAGCTTCACTTCTTCTGCTTTCCTGGTGGCTGTGCTTCCAATGGAATGGCAAGCAACATAAAAATGGTCAGCCCCTCCACTGCGATTCCAGTAGGGATAAGCATGGCTGATATCATAAATGTAAGCTTTCACAAAATCTGGGATTCCTCCAACATTCACTCTCTTGTCATGTCGCAGTGCTGCAATAGAGAAGGGCATATAGAAGAGATCTGCCTCTGAAGGGTCCTTTGTGATGAAGTGGCTCTTCATAAGAGCCTTCTTGAAGTAGGCTTCACTGGCGTAATTTCCCCCTGGTTCTGAATGCACTGGCAAGAGGGCGTTTGCAAAGGGATCATCCTTTCTGTGGGGATAAACATATATCTTAAAGCTTCTATTCATCTCTTTGTAGTCTTGCAGAAAGATGTCTTTCCCATGGAAAACCTCGTCCTTCACTTGGTTTCCTGAAGAATTTCCAATATTCTTGTTATTAAGATTAAAATCTCTGATTTTTGGAAAACTAGATTTGAGTAAAAAGTGTTTTTGGGCTTTGATAGAAATTGCTTTTAAAAATGTTATAATCTACAGCAAGAACACTCATAAGCCCCCACAGCACAAATCCCAAAGCACAATTTTTAATGTTTTGTGCTTTTGGGTTTTAAAAGCACAAGTCTACAAGCTTAAAAAGGAATCTTAAGCTTAGTTTGAAAGGAGTACAAATGCAAATATGTATGGTACAAATGCAAACAAAATAATACAAAATACAAGGTTTTGCACTCTACATATTTGCATTTGTAGTCCTTTCAAACTGAGCCTTAATTAATTTTTTCAAATAGTTGGTGGCAACAGCCATATGGGTCCTGTTTATATGATCTGGCTCATTGTTTTGAAAATCGGATTGGATCGGACAGTGGATCAGTTGACCCAGCAGCTCCATTTTTGGTCCAGTTTTCAAAACCATGATCTGGCTTACCTGTAAAGCCTAGGCTAAGCTAGGCTGGCCCAGGTATGTCATCAAGGCTCAGTAATAACTAAGTTAATTGGGTACATCTCCTATGTAATCATTTACAAATATGCTCATATATGTTTACATTCTTATATGTATATGTACGTATATACATAAATACATAAACATATATACATACATACACAAATGGAGCAAAAGCTATATGAATGAGGACTGAGAAATCTAGCGCAAGAAATTAAATCTGAAAGACCAGGTCCAGTGCAGCCCTGAACTGAATTCCTGCTGATGACCAGGCCAAGCCGGGCTAGAACTGCCGCTTGTAGTAGGTGATGACAGGAAGACAGCACTACAGTCTACAGCTAGCAATAAAAAAGTTTTGAATTCATGGAATTCAATTCGGTAGATTTTAATTCAATGGAATAAAGAGTATGACAATTTGAAGTCCAGAATCCTCAGTAAGAGTGATGACTCTCTGTCTGAAGTCCAGAATCCTCAGTAAGACACACCGGCGAAAAGCAAGATCATGAAATCCACATACCATTTGAATCACTGGATTGATGACTCTCCACAGGCTGACGAATCTCAATTCCTTGACGAACAGTAGTGTGGTTCCAGACTGGTGGGTCTCGATCTTCATGAATGTAGGTCCATGCACTGACCCCAACCGATTTAGGGGGCATATCAAAGGCACTTTGTTGAGAGATTCTCGAAGACCCAATTGATGATTTGAGCAGAAGATGATCATGGTGGTGGTGATGCATGAAAAGCTTTGAGGTCGAAGAGATGTAGACAATAATGAAAAGAGAAGTTAGAAAAGCTAACCATGTTGGTATGAAGATAAGGCGTCTGAATGGGTCTGAGAGATGGCCGGAGCGAGAGAAATAGTAATGAAGAAACCAAGAACGAGCCATGATGGAGGAGAGAAGAGAGAGAGTCTGAAACGCTTATATTTTGGTGACTACGTCGTGTGCAGATATGGCCCAATAAGCAGAGCCAACCTTATTTGACCGTCAAGAATTCTTTACGTGGCTGAAGATAGAAACTGCTGGCGGGTCAGAATTCGTCTGGAGCAGTAAGACAACAGACCAGTCGTTTTAGGGTTGTGGATTTTCTTTGGCTAAACAAATAAAATACGTTCAAAAACTTTAATTCAACAACCCAGACAAATCAACAAACGCAGCAGTTTCTCTGATCCCAGGTATAAAAAAAGGGGCGGCTTATCAAGGAATACATTATTCTGTTGAAGTAGGAACAAACTTGGAACTTGGACAAGAAGAAAAAGCTGCTCTCTCTCTCTCTCTCTCTGTCTCGCTCTCGTTTTAGGCCCACTATTTGTCAATCCAAATTGATTTGAATTAATTTAAATTGACAAATCACCACAGACTGATTCTTTATCAATGATAGTGAAAGTTGTGAAACTAGCTCTCGCTCACTAGTTTTAGGTCCATTTGTCAATGCAAATAGATTTGCATTAACTTACATTTACAAATCAAAGGCAAATTGATGTGTATCAACGATGAATGCAATATCTGTCCCTGCCACAAAGTCCCCCTACACCGCCCAATTCGGGGAGATCGGCTTCAGTCAGTGCAAGGCCCGTTTGAACAATGTTCGAACAGCCTTCACAACTTTGTATCGGGAATATCTCCGTACTTCTGTATTTTATTTCATGTGGAGATATTCCCAATGCAAGGTGATACGATACAATCCGAGCACTCCTAACTGGTTGCTGACTGGCTCTTTGTTGGCAATGTACGGCACCAGAGAAAATGGAAAAAAATAATTCCCGGGGATTTACCCAGTGGGAATACTCCGAAACTTAAGTCATAACGTTGGAGAAGGAGAAAAAAGAGAGTGCAGAAGCTAAGAGTATAGGTCACGCTTTATCACTTTGCTCGAGAGATGAGCTCGCGAGCAAGTAAAGACTCAGGTTGAGGGTATGAGAGTGTGGAAGTATTCAAAAGTCTGGGAGCGTCCTTCTCCTTTGCCTCAGAGGCTTTTATAGGGGAGCTACTATCAAATCGGGTGTAACCGCCACTGGGTCCCTACCGCAGCCGTTACCTGCCAGGGCTGCGCAGGTGATCGTTGTAACGTACCTCTTGCTTGGATGAGTGACACGTCTTAAAAGGGGTAGACACGCCTCCGCCTGCTGAGAGACGTGGGTGCAGACTGTCGAAAGGACAGGAACTGCGCAGTTAGTCCAGAGACGTGGTGTAGACTGATCGGTATGGTTTGTCAGGTAGAAGCTTCCCGAGAAATGTCTGCGCCGCTCACTCACGAGCTACTTTGTAGCGAGCATGAGAATACTTCGGGGTTACCCTTATTAAGGTTAGTCTCTTGGGATGACTTATCTGCTTAGATGCTGGAGTGAGCAGGTTTCCCTAGCTCCCGAGATGCAGTAGCCTCGGAATATCCCCTTCGGGGTAGCTCGGGGAACCCGGAGCTCGTGTTGTAGCGAGCTCTCCCTTCAGCGAGCTGCTGTATAGGCTCGTTACTTAGTCGTTGCCAAGCTATGATGTTGAGTTGTTGCCCGCGCTGAGTCAGGTCCACATGTCATCATTTCATAGGTTGGGTCAAATCATCCTCCATCAATTGCCCCCCACTCCTTGAGCTGAGAGCATTGCCTTAGCGCAAGGAGTTCATGAAGTATGATGGACTGATTTGACCGAGATTCAAACTTGATTGATTGCGCACATTAAATGCATTCGTGGGAATTAGGAGATTTTCTGACTTTCCGGATTCCGGAAACGTGCTGGAGTGGCTCTTAACTCCGGATGTCGTGCAGCCATCATTACCTCAATCATGGGAGACGTGCAGCCAATCGCTTTTCGGTTTCAGGAGGTGTGCGGACAGTACACTTGCGAACCGTTGGATCTGCCTTAATCTGGGTCGTTGATTCGAAGGCGTGGAAGACTATAAATAGGAGGGCCCTTTGGGTCTCATTTTCTCTCACGCCATCTTGCTGTCTTCGGATTCTGAGGTCGTGCATCTGTCAAGTCTACTCGAGTCCCTCACTTCGTCTTGCCCTTTTCGGTGAGTCTCGATTACTATTAGTCATGTCTGGGTACTCGTACCATAGTCGCCACCGGTGCGGTGGCCAGGATGATGATGCTCCCCCGAGTTCAGGGGGAGCTTGGGAACAGGTCCCGGGGGCCCGGGAAACCTCCGACGACGGAGCCTCCACTTCCCGGGGAAGGGAACCCGATACTTTCGGCTCTTCCTCTATGATCAAGGGGAAGCTTAGGTCTTTAATCAGCTATTTCCACCTCCCCGGGGACCTTGTTTACTGCCTTCCCACCGGTAACTTTTCGTGGGAGCATGGTCCCAACAAGATAGTTATCTATCAGGAGCAGCTCGAGGCTGGCCTGTGTCTCCCCCTGCACCCCTTGATAGTGGAGGTGCTAAACCACTTCAACGTCACTATCGATCAGCTTCATCCCAACGCCATTCGGAACATGGTTGGGACTATACCCTTGTGCTGTGAATACTGTCTTCCTTTGAACCTCGACATTTTTTCTGCTATCCTCTGTATAAAAAATGCCACTCCCGGGGCTCCACCGGAGAAGCGTCTCTACTACTTCTCTCCCCGTCGAGGCTACAAGCTCTTATACGAGCTTCCGAATAAAATTCCCGCCTGGAAGCGGGATTATTTTTTGGTCCGCAACCCTGAAGGGTAGCCTTTCCCTACTTCTTGGAGGGGCGCCATCCAGGACTCCGGGGTCGAGTTGGACCCTGATACTCAAAAAACAATGCTATCCTAGGCATCAGTTGGCTTTCTCTGTTCGGGTTACTTGACCGAGGAGAAGCTCGTGTAGGCCGGCCTGAGCCCGGGTAGGTTGCCTCTTTAGGTCGCATAGTACCTTGTCATAATGTTGTGTATATACATATACTTTGTTCTTACCGAACTAATACCTTATGGTTTCTTCTTGGCAACCATCATGTCTGGTGTCGACTCACGCCGTCTTCTTTCAAACAACCAGAGGCGCAAAGTGAAGAGGTCGCGCCCCGACCAGACTACTCCCTCCGGGGGTACTGAGTTCGGGTCTGCTGAGTCAGGCTTCACCTCTCCACCGCCCGAAGTTCCACCACCCCCATCCGAAGAAGGTGCCAGCGGGGCCAGCCTCGAGGAGGGTGAGCTCCCGCAGCAAGAGGAACTCCCCCCGGGTCCTCGGTCATTTCCCTATCTGCGGCTCCCAGTGGGGAACTGGGAGGGCATAAACGACTTCGTTGTGGCTCATCGGAGGAGCCAAAGAGCGATCTGCAACGAGGAGGTTGCTAAGTGGGGAGCGATGGAGCCTGGGGATCTTGTCGCGCTTGCCGCCTTTCACTGTATGGTGGTAAGTGGTCTTTCTTTTCTCCTTCGTCCGTCCTTCCTTTTTTGCTATCTTTTGACTCTAGTCTCTTGTTGGCAGGTAAACACCGCCATACAGCCCATGGCCCTCCAAACGCATGTCCACTCCTGTGACGCTCGTAACCAGAAGGTCAACATTCAAAAGCATCAGGGCGAGCTCGACTGAACTCAGGGCGAGCTCCTTCACACTCGTAAGGAGAGCGAGTCCCAAGAGCTGCTCGTCCGAGACCAGGAGGCGCAGATTGCCAAGCTCTCTAAAGAGAGCGTACGCTACAGGGAGGAGTCGTCATGGGTGGCGACGGAGAGGGAGCTTCTTCGCCAACAGGTTTGGGACTTGGAGTCCACTCTTTTGAACCGAACTCGGAACTTCGACAACATGGTGGAGGCCGAGAGAGAAGGTAGTGGACCCTCATCTTTATGACGAGCACGTCGTCGTGACGGTAGTGCACCCCTTGCGCATCGTTCTCTGTGAAGAAGATGGAGTCTTCTTTCCTAGGCCGTTTTGGAGGGTTCTGCTCTTCCCTACTGGATTCACGAGCTGACGCGCAAGCTGGTCTGAAGTGCAACCCGCGACAATCGATCCTTCGACTATGACGTGGATGATTCCCCGAACTGGTCTCTCTTCAGGGGGGCCGCTTTTGCAGTTGCTCCGCTTGTCGGATGGATTCGGGGCCGTCTCTGCCTTGCTCCCCCTGTTGACCTGCTTTATTATTATTATTATTACTATTATTATTTTGTACAAAATTTTGTAAATATCCGCGACGGATGAGTTCTTCTATCTCATCGCAGAGGTTTTACAACTCTCGGTACTATGACCGTGATCTTTATGAAAACTACAATACAAATTTTTGTTCCGGGTGCTAGGGTCGGCCTTCAGTCGAGGTGGCCACTTCACATATGGGGCATCCTCGATCGCCATGAGGATCTTGGCCCGTTTTGTATTGAGGGGCGTGTAGTCCCTTCCTACTACTAAGGCTCGGGAGGGTTGGACTGGCCTCGCCCCCCGAGCTATGTCCTTCCTCTTCATATTGTCGCCTTGAGACGGGGGTTCCAGTTCCCTCTTTCTTTTTTCTGGCGCCTGTTCGCCCTTCTGGTTGATCTCCTCCCCCGTCCCAATAAACTATCCGCGAGCTTAAAGAACTCGGTTACGGTTTTGGGTTGATTGACAACTACGTGCCACTTGAACTCCTTATGGGTGATACCTCGCTTGCCTGCTGTGAGGCGAACCGCAGGGTCCAGGTCAGGTATCTGCAAACAAGCATCATTGAACCGCTTGATGTAGCTCCGGATGGACTCCCCCTCTTTCTGCACTATGCTAAGGAGGCTCTATTGGGTTCGCGGGCACCTCTTGCTGGTGACGAAGTGAGAAGTGAAAATTTGCACAAATTGCGCCCAACTTCTTAATGAGTCGGGCGTGAGGTTTCGGTACCAGGTGCGGGCGACTCCCTTGAAGGTGGTGGAGAAGGCCACGCACATGCAGGACTCGCTAGCTCTGGCCAGATGCATCTGGGACTGGAAGGCGTCCACATGGTCGTTTGGATCGAATGACCCATCGTACTTGTCTAGAGGAGGGAGCTTGAAATCCTTTGGCATGGGGACAACAAGGAGTTT